TGGTACAGCTTGGGAATGGTGCCAGGGCTGGCTCTGCCCTGGAGCTGAGGAACTCAGGGTTAAATGGAGAGTTTAAGGGGATTCCCTCAGGACTCTGCACTTCAGGGTTTTACAGGATCCTGCAGGGTGAGCCCCTGTCCCTCAGGGCTGCTGGCAATGCTCTGTAGGGTTTGGCAAAGCCTTTTCTGTGCAGCTGCTGCAGGTCCTGCAGGTCCTGCTCCATCCTGATGGATGCTGCAGGAATTACAGAGCACAACGTGTCAAACTGCAGAGAAACCATGAAATGCATTTGAAAAGTTTCCAGCATGCACCAAATCACTGCAGCTCCCAAAACTCCTGAATGTCTCAGGTGAAGGGTTCAGTGACAATTCCTGGGATTCCATGGAATGAGCCATTACATTCTTATAAAGCCCAAGGAAAAGCTGATCTAAGTTTATAACTGCAGCCAAGATGAGGAGGATGCTGCTGAATCTTCACCATGCTCAGCTGCAAAACCTTTGCAGGGTTTATTTTGTATGCTGATATTTCCCTTCAGTTTATGGAAAAGAGAAGCTCTGTGGCTTTACAAAATAGCTACAAAGCATCATAATGTACAAGGAACTTTTTGGAGCTCACACTGATAAATTTCTTAAATTGTTTTCTGGAATTGCTTTAAAATAGAAATGATTTTTAGCTCTTAAAGTTCAGCAAACCTTATGAAGTGGCTCGGGAGTCTGTTTTTTCTCCACAGAATCCACAAAGGTGGATTGAAAGGTCTGCTTTTGTCTGATACTGTAACAGCTGAAAATCTGTAAGACATTCCTCTACCAAATTGAAATATTTTTAGTCAGATTAAATGTGGACAGAGAAAATGCTATAAATAAAATAAAACAATAAATAAGGAATTTTACAGGCCAGATGAAATGAATGAAAGTCTACTGATGAAAACTGGGAGCCAATGCAGATAAATGAGCTGTGCCTCTTTCATCTCTATCACACAAGGACTTACTCCTGAATTTCTCAGTTTCAAAACCTTTCTGTTATTGTAGCTAAATGCTGATCTTTAATTTTGTTTATTTATTTTAATTAACTACAATACCTTCTATTTAGCTGCATTAACCTGTCAGGAACAAACAAGTGTGGGCAGTTTTGATGCCTTGATAAAATGCTAAAGCAAAGCGTGCTGGACACACCTGAACACCAGGCTGATATTTCCTGCTCTAATCTCCAATCACTTCCCCACTGCAGCCTGATAAGGAGATTAAATACTGCCCTGTGCTGAATTAAATTGCTCTTTAAAGTGCCTGGAAAATTTGCCTGTGGTTGTCTCCTCAGTGATTTATTCCCTGTGGGGTGGCCAGAGGGATTTCCCTGCTCCAAGTGATTGCTCTCCTGATGTTTAACAGCCTCACTCTGTGTATTTTCTGCTCACTTTTATTTCCTGGCACTAACCCTGTGATTCATTAATCACAGCACCACAATCTCCCTCCCACTGCACCACTGACACCAACAAGATTTTGCAAAGCACAAGTGGAAAACAGAAAATATTTCAGAAAATCAGCCAGATCAGTTTGGAGGGATCAGTTTTTTGCCCACAGTCCCCAGGCTTGATGTAGCTGTCGGGCTTTGAGATACACTGAGCCAGTATCATAAAGAGGAATTAAGAAGTATTTTATTTAGAAAGAACTTATTTAATTTAGGCTCTGACTGGTTCTTTATAATGAATGTTTTATTACAGAGAAAGTCAGTCAAGTCTCCTCAATGAAATTAGGGAACACTGTGGGAAACAATCTGCCATATTAATTCTGCTCACATTTCTGCAGAATACGGAGGCAGAGCACCACTGAGACATTGAAATTCAGAGTCCACTGGAGTCAGGGAAGTCCTTGAAACCCTTTGAAAAGGCTCATAAGGACTTCAGGGGACCTGGGAAAAGTCCTTAAAATATCAGGGTGGGCAGCAGCAAAATCTTCTGGAATGGCTTAATTGTTGCACTCTTAATTAAGGAAAACTCTTCACCGAAAGAAGTTTTAATTAAACATTCATTTTTAATGCATTGTGGGTTTGATATCAATTAAGTGTAATAAATTACTCATGGAATGATCAGTTTGCTCAGAATTTGATATTAGATTAGATAATAACTGGGGAGGAGTACTGTGGATTCCCTGGATTTAAGGACAGTCACTAGGGATGAATGTTTTCTGTGCCTTACAAAGGAATTGCATTTCAAAATCTTCCAAATCCAGTTTTGCTGAGATGAAAACACACCTAGGGGGGAGTGTGTTGAGCTCCTTTCCAGTTTCCTGGAAAAAATTCAACATCTGGATTTATTTGCAATGGATATATCTGGATATATCTGCAATGCAATGGTGCAACAGAGCCATGTAAGGGCTTTGCTGTGTGCCACTGGATATTCCAGCTGGGAAACTGGGGGAATCCTGCATGCCTTTGTCATTGTCTGAAGATTAAAGAGCCACAAGACGTGAAACTGCTTCTCTCCACTGATAACAGGTTGGAAATGAAGTGTTTCCAAACCTCCTTGTTTGCACACCATAAAATAGAAAGGGAGAATTGGTAATTAGTGATTGGTAAAGGTTCCCTTGGAAGGCAACCCAAGGGCCAATCTTCTTGCAGAGATTCCATTTTGGTGCAGATTGGAGCCATTCTGACTGGAGTTAAATCTGAGCTCTTCAAGAGAAAATCCCAAGGTTTTAAAAACCGCTCTGGTGAGGGAAAGGGTAGAAAAACACCAAATGGTGACAGCTGAGTCCCGAGACAGGGAACACAGGAAACTTCCCCAACACCAACCCACATCTCCATCTGGCCCCAGCAATGTGCAGAAATGAGCCTTGCTGTGCAAGGAATCTGCGTTATGGTGGAGCTTTCCCTGGGAAAAGGGATTGATCAGATCTGTGCTGTGACAGCATGAGGCTTCCCAGGCTGGGAACCTCCGTGTTCCCCCAGGTTCCTGCAGGAGCCACGGCCCCTGGGAGCTGCTGAAGGCTGAGCCACCTCCCCTGTGTGCACAGGCAGCACAATCCTCCCTGCAGGAGCAGTAGTCTGCCCTGAGAGAGCTGTGGTGAGTTTAGAATGTGCTGAAAGGATGTGGTTGCCTTTTGTTTAAGCTTCCTGCAGCCCTTCACACCACGGGCTCAGCCAAGCCAGCGTGCCAAGGTTTTAGAGCTAATTGGATTTCTAAAGCTCCTGATTCCTTCCCTTCCAGCATCCAGTGTTTGTTTACATTCCCCTGGACTTATTTAATATAGGGAAAAACCCCAACAGTAGATGTTTACAAACAGTAGATGATGAAGTGGAGAGGATGGTTATAAAACTAAGGGCTGGTCAAGCTGGGAGGCTGCTGGAGAAGAGGATTAGGATAA